GAGAATCCCAAACAGGTTCTGCACTGCCAGCACAGAGCCCAATGCGGGGCTCAAACCCATGAACCGTGAGATCATGACCTGAGCCGAAGCCAAGAGTCAGCCCCAGTTCATCTCTTCTTGGCTGGCATTTGGGGCAGGAGCCTCCAAGGTGGAGGAAAGGATAGACTTCTGAGGAAGGTTTTGTGGGAGCCCAGGCAGGAGGGGAGGAGATGATGGTAACAGTTTTGTTCACTTAACAGTTGGTACTTGCCACGTGTCAGGCACTCTGTCTCTTTAATCCCTTTATGTTTTGTAGCAACTCTAGGAGGGGTGTATGAGCGTTCTTCCCATTGCGTAGAAGGAAAAAGTGAGGCACAGAGGGGTCAGGTTACTCCACTGACGTCAGACTTCTAGGCCAGGGCGGAGCTGGGGTTTGAACCCAGGCTGTCTGATTACCTACCCAGCCTACAGGAAGTCAGGAGGACAGAAGGCAGGATCTGGGTCCTAAAGCTGTGGGTGTGTGCGAGGGTGGGGGGTTGTGAAATGGGACCTGAGGAACTGGGGGAGTCTCAGTCTCAGAATGTAGGGAGACCCGAGATCCAGAAACCCCAAATCACACTCTTCTCTGTTTTTCCTCCATGGACAAAGAAAATGAATCCAGAAGATCCAGCCACGCTGGATGCTTGCTCGGGCTCCGTCGAGACACCTGGCAACTCCGGGCCCCGGAAAAGGCCCACTTCCACATCTTCCTCGCCCGAGCCCCCCGAATTCAGCACTTTCCGGGCCTGCCAGTGAGGCTGAGGATCGGGGGCCCCTCTGTGTCTGTGCACTCTCCATTCAGCCCCCTGTCTTGAGGGCCTGAGGTTGCTCTAGCTACTTTGGGGTTTCTGGCTGCTGCCTTCTCAGGGAATTGAATAGAGGAGACCAAGAGAATCCTTGGCCTGGGGACCTTCCTCGACAGAGGAGCAGGAGTGGCAGAGGGGTCGCCCACATTGTCCTGGAAGCTGGACAGAAAGTGGGAGCACTCTTTGGATTCTACGCAGGAAGGAGATGTTAGGATCCCTGTGGCTCTCAGCTGGGCCATAAGAGGTCTGAATTCTCTGCACACCCTTCCAGTTTCCTCCTCCTCCTGTGGCGTCTGACTCGACCAGCCCAACTGGGTTTTTGGAGCATAGGGTACCTGGGGGTATGTTCTGTATGTCTGTCCTACTGGCATGCCTAAGTTATTAATTATAACACGTGTTGAGCTGTTCCCAAAGTCTCTGTGGAGTGTAATCCTTCAAGCCCAGGATCTCTGGGTCTAATCACTGGATGCCTAGCGGGAGGGGAGCAGTACCCAAATGCATCAGGCTGTCAAGGTATATGGTGAGGCCCCTGGGGGGACAGGAAGGGGCCAGTGTCATGCGGGGTCTTTGCTAAAGTCCTTGCATTGGTGAGTACAGGGAGTGGAATGATGGGGGCATTGATGAGGAGGTCCAGAGAACTGTGGGAGCTGCAGAAGGTGGGAAGCCACCACAAGCCTTTTGGGACCCTCCGGAAGAGAATGGAGCCCTGGAGCAAGGGGGTCTTGGAAGACAGATGTATGTGTGTGTGCGTTTGTGTTGTGTGTGTCCCTGTGAAAAGGGGCACTTGATCCTGCTTTGCTGGATTCGTTGGCTAGCCAGCGCTGGGGGGAAGGGAGGAGCTTAAGGGAGGGACCCAGAAGGAGGGATTCAAGAATTTTTTGTGGGGGAAGAGATGGCCAAGGATGGAGGAAGAGGGTGCTAGGGGAAGTGGGCGACGATGGGGAAGAGATAGGAGCAGTTGACTGCTGGGAGAAGGGACCTTTCCGCAGATTCAGGATGAGGGCGGAAGCTGAGTCCCACTTCAAACTGATTTTCCCTTCTGGAAAGCTGGGTGGGGGGGGGGGGCCACAGGCTGGGGGC